TCAGGGCTGCATTAACCCCCACCCTGGCACCCCAGGGTGCCCCTCACCCTGGCGTCAGGGCTGCATTAACCCCCACCCTGGCGCCCAAGGGTGCCCCTCACCCTGGCGTCAGGGCTGCATTAACCCCCACCCTGGCGCCCCAGGGTGCCCCTCACCCTGCTGTCCTGGCTGCGTTAACCCCCACCCTGGCACCCCAGGGTGCCCCTCACCCTGGTGTCCGGGCTGCATTAACCCCCACCCTGGCACCCCAGGGTGCCCCTCACTCTGGTGTCCAGGCGGCCCCCCCGTGCCCGGTCGCGCACGTGGGCGCTCGCACGTGCAGCCGGAAAGTAGGACACGGGGCTGAGCGGCGCCGGGGGGGCCGTGCCAGCAGCCAGGGCCCTCCCGCCTATGCTGCCCCTGCCTGCCGTGGGGGGGTCCCTCCTGTGCCCGCAGCCCTAAATGTCCCCCCTGCACCCCAATCTCCCTTGGTGCACCCCAAAATGCCCCAATACCCCCCATACTGTCCCCAATGCCTTCCATGGGATCAGTGCCACAGCAGAGGCAGTGCCAGGGGACGGCGGTGGCAGGGGGAGCTGTCACCCAGTGAGGTGACACACGTGTCACACCCCCAAGTGCACCCACAAGTGCGCGATGGTGTCACGGCTTCACAGTGTTATGGCCTCACCCCCACCTGTGCCATGGGGTCCGCGTGATGTCACCAGCGTGTCACCTGGACACTGCCGCACACCGCCGTGACATCCCCGTACACCACCCCACGCCAGTATGATGTCACCTGGACACTAGCACACACCACCATGACGTCATCAAGGTGCCGATGCGTGCCCGTGTGACGTCACCGTGACACTGATGCTCACCGCTAGGATGTCACACCACCAAGGCGGCACGAAGGGGCACCATGATGTCACCAAGACCCTGACAACCACTACCATGACACCCGCCACCACAATGTCACCGAGACCCCAAGACTCACAACCATGATGTCACCCAGACCGCAACACTTGCCAACAAGATGTCACCAAGACCCCCACATAGGTCCAAGATCCCCCCTGCCAGCGCTGGGGACCCTGCAGCGAGGAGCGTCCTTGGACCCAACCACGGGGGCGGTCGGGAAAAGCCACCGGTGCCCAAGGGTGCGGGACGTCCCCCAGGTGCAACCGGTTCCTGAGGTGCCACTTCCCAGGGTTCCCGGAATAGGGTGGTTGGAAGTGGGTGTTCCCAGTGCCGGGGTGCAGGACACCCGGTGCAGGAGGGCCCAGGGCGCGGGGTGGTCCAGGGATGAGGGTGCTCCCAGCGCATGAGGTCCCCAAGGTGCAGGGACACCGGGTTTCTCCGGTGCAGGGCGCACGGGGCTGCGCAGTTGCCCGGGGGGCAGGGACGCGGGGGCGGCTCCCGCGGCTCAGGGACCCCCGGCGCACCCCGTGCACCCCGGTGCACCCCGTGCACGGGGCTGGGGCACGCAGCTCGTCCCGGTGTCGCCGGCGCTGCAGTGCCGCCCGTGTCTTACCCGCGCTGCTCTCCATGCTGCCCGGGCCGGGGCGGCGGC